CGTGAAATTAAAAATATCCGTCGGACAATGTAGCTGAATAATCAAAAAGCGCTGTCATGATTATACTTGCATTCATGAAGTTTTTGAACTGATGATGGAGCTTATCTCCGGAACGTTTTCAATGCAAAATTTCGCAAAAATCAATTAGCAAAATTTTTCCCTACTAGGTCTTGGAGAAAACATAAATTCAAAACTACTTATTAGTAAATAGATTATTTAATTAACTATAAATTAAATAGTACTTATTAAAACTGACGAGTTGAAGTGAAAATTACTACAAGTCTTCACGCCTGCTTTGGTTCTGTAAATATGGACGCATAGCACAACGACGACTAACTAGAAAAATTTGATCTGTCTATATCGGTTAGTGTAAGTCCGCAATGAGCATTCTCACGTAATTTTTGGGACCACAAATTTTTTTATACAAATTATTGATTAAATTATTATCATTAACTTATTTTGATTAGCTCCAATATAAGCATCCGGTCTCTCAAGTGGTTCAGGGGTAGAGATCATCTCCGGTAAGTTTATTTATTTTTTCATTTATGAATTGAGCTATCTGACCGAGACAGAATTTCATTATCTGATTCAGTGTATAAATTAAAAAAAACCTTGCCTCAGACTTATATGTGAACAATTGAGCAATTTATTATAGTAAATAATAGTTGTTCAAATGCTGGAAGGGAAGACGACTTGCGAATAAATTATTAACGAACTAAGAACTAATTCTTGATACGAAGATTTTTTATTGTACGATTTGTCTCCTCTACTTCTGATGATTGATTTCGGTTATTCCAGCAAAAATCATGAAAATGACTGGAATTTTAGTACATGCAAGCGCTTATTAAGCAGATACAGGGAAAGTACGTATTGCACTGGACTTGAAATGTTGTGTTTGTCTTGTAATGGACCATATCTCTCATTACTTAATCGGAATCTACGTAGAATTTCACGTTGCGCTGCATGTTTGACGATCCCAGGAATTAGTCAGAGAACTGTAAACAATTTTTCCCACCATTTGCCATTACCGTAACTCAAAGCAGGAGTAACTGGCGCTCTTAATGGCCTTATGCGTGAGGTTTGCCTCGCTTGTTTCCGCAGTAAAAGCGCGGGGCGGCTTTACGACTATGCCTCGTCCGCTGGCTTTTCTCACCGCAATTAAAACTTACATCGCAGCTGTAGACGAACTCGCTCATTCTACAGCCTTTTTGACTGTCGCTGCCAGCAGAATAGCCAGCAAATTACAAACGCTGATCTGGGAATATACCTACTATGCATTAACAAATTTTTCTCTATATTAGCAGAATTCAAAAATGCATTTTTAAAATCAGTTTAAAATTCGAATTAGAATGTTTTCGAAATGAGGCAAAATTGAAAAATTAACATAGTTTCAGCAGGCCTAGGGCAGATGAAAATGTCATTATATTCATAAGATTTCGAAGCTCTTGAAATTATCACCGAAATTGTTTAGAAACAGTTTTCAGAAGTAGAAAACATTTGTCTGTCAAATTTCCGCTGCTCTTTATTTTAGTCCAAGTCCTTGCCTCTACAGTTCAGTGACCAAGCGTGCTGACTTTTTTCTGTTTACTGTTAAGGGGACCGTCTACCCTCCGGAAAAACTACTACAGTTATTATCCGATCATCATGAAACTTCACATACATACGTAAAATGTAAAAAATTAACATTTTGCTCCTATGAATTTTTCGAAAAAATTGATAGAAAACGTGAAATTCATAGAAAACGGCCATAAACGGGTACTTTAGAAAATCTATCTCCTCCTACAAATATCGTCCTACAATATCGAGACACGTATCATTCGATTCGTAAAGACCATACCTATCGACCAACCCATCACTTTTTTCATTTTCCCCATAGTTTTTTTATGCGCGTTTTTCCCATTTTTCCACTTTTTCCCTGCCTCCCCCTTCTCCCCCATATATATGACAAACCATGCACAAATTCAAAAAAGTGATGGGTTGGTCGACAGGTATGGTCTTGACAAATCGAATGGTATATGTCTCATTGCTGTAGCTTTAAAACTCTAGGAGGAGATAGGTTTTCCGTGAGAGCAGTAGGAGGTTTACAACACGCTCAAAAAACGGCCGCGTGAGACGTAAACGGACGGAAAAGAGTCGTAACGTAGCCTAGATACCGTAATTAAGCCTCAAACATAAGTGGCAAAATTGAGAGGTATCGTTTCAGCAGGTCTAGGGCAGATGGACATGTCATTACATACCTATGGTTTAGAACCCTCTTGAAATAATCACCGAAATTGTTTAGAAAATACTTTTCTGAATGAGGAAATATTTGGCTGTCAAATTTCCGCAGCTATTCATTTGAGTCAAAGTCCTTGTCTCTATACAGTTCTGTGATCAAGCGTGCTGACATTTTTCTGATTACTGCTAATTAGACGTTCGCTAATTAGATGTTCGCTAATTAGATGTTTACTAATTAGACGTTTGTGTCAGGCATCGAGATGGCCCAGCTAGACATCGAGTTAGCCGCTGGAACAAACACATCTTCTGCCGGTCAAGCCGGTCGTGATAGACGGGAGGATTTATTGTAGAAATTCGTCTTATTCGGTAAAAATTTCGTGCTGTTAACTATTCAACCGGGACCTGGCAGAAATATCTAAATCTGCTGTCACTCTAAATGACACCACACATCCAATCTTACTTTTCAAAGTTCAACAGCAAATTTGTCAAGGCAACATGATGGAGCTACAGCCGTGGTACAAAACTCCAGCGGCTCTTGGCATCGCCAGGATGGAAGGGGTTATATATTTAAAGGGTAGTAGAGCTTGTTATTCTGTTTCTAAGAAGGAAGGGGCAATAGAGGGTAGTGGAGTTTATTTTTTTATTTCTAAGACGGAAGGGGTAATAGAGGGTAGTGGAGTTTATTCTTTTATTTCTTAGACGGAAGGAGTAATATAGAGGGTAGTAGAGTTTATTATTTTCTTTCTAAAATGGAAGGGGTAATAGAGGGTAGTAGAGCTCGTTCGTCTATTTCTAAGATGGAAAGGGTAATAGAGGGTAGTAGAGTTTGCCCTTCTATTTCTAAGACGGAAGGGGTAGTATGGTCGTAGAGCTTGTTCATTTATCACTTAGACATATTATCCGCTTTGCTAGGGCAAGTAGGCGAGTTCCGCACAGCTGTGAATACAATCTATTGCACGAGTTCAATCAGTCGAAAACCGTATCGCAACATCGCTTCAGGGTTATGTCTTGTATGAACGTAACAATATATCTGATTCAACATTCAAACAACATAGAAATTCCTTGAAATTAAACTTCCCATTTATTTATTTAAATTCAGTAAGATATGTAAGGATGAAATAAATACTTTTACGCTTACATTTATGACTCGTAAGCAACAAAGTTGAGTATCACTCCTCCTGCACCATAGAAGAACACTTTAATAAATTTATATTTTTTAGTCGTGCAAACTCAGTTTATGGACACCCATTAATAGATCAATTATACTGAACGATATCGACTCAAGCACAACGGCACGTAACTACCGCTTGTAGCATCTACTGCACATACCATCTACTGCACATATCATCTACTGCACATACCATCTACTGCACATACCATCTACTGCACATATCATCTACTGCACATACCATCTACTGCACATACCATCTACTGCACATACCATCTACTGCACATACCATCTACTGCACATACCATCTACTGCAC